CCTATATTTAATCCCTCTTGATTCTGAAACTACGGATCTCTTAGAGAAGAGGTTATATTTTTCAATAGGTAATGAAGGAAACATTCTTTTTGATATTTTGGTGGAAGTTGTCAACATTGTGGATAATTATCCAAAAGATACAAGGCGGGAGATGGAACTGGAAATGATCCCACGGATCCTGACACATCAAGAATCGATACAAAGGAGTAGATTGGCTGGTATTTGGAAAAAAAATTGCATTAGAATGATCAACTAGTTCTTCAGGCGGATAAGGGAGGAGCGACTGTTGTAAGGGACAGGAAACAGTATACGGAGAAAATGGAAAGTATCCTAGGCGACCGGAACACTTAACAAATACTAAGCAAGGATCCAACCACGAAGCTCAACGGGAGACTGAAGAATATGCTCAAGGAAATGCATAATAATGGGGAAATTGACAGATGGAGGATGAAATCTTTAATCTGACGCAAGACCACTGACAGCCTACGGACTACCGAAGATACACAAGGAAGACTAATAGTCAACACCAAGCATGGATCAATGAATAAACTAGCGAAATTAATGGTCTTGAAGCTCAAGATATAATTGACAGACTTTCGAATACCGTCAAGAATTCATATGAATTTTCTCAAAGGATCCAGAACGTTAAGTTGGTTGGGTCGGAGCTGTTGGTGAGTTTCAATGTACAATCCGTTTACACAAACATCTTAAGTGAGAAGGCGGTAAGCACCTTGCTGGAGATATTGGAGCGAGAAGAGGACATCCTGGAGGCAGAACAAATACGGAAAGAATAGTTAACACGACTGATTAACCTGACAGTAAGGACGACATATTTTACATTTAACGGCAGTATCTACGAGCAAATATTTGGACTACCGAAGGCATCTCCACTCTCACCTGCTTTGGCAAATGTGTACATGGACAAGTTGGAAAGGGAATTCGAGAAGTCGCCACTGCAACCAAGAGTGCTCATGCGATATTTGGATGACTACTTTCAACTTTGGTCACATGGTAAGAAAAATCTAAATGAATTCCTCAATTTCATTAACGAACTTGATGTAAGAATTAAATTCACAATGAAGATGGAAGAGGATGAACGACTACCCTTTCTGGATATCTAAGTCAGGCGTACCAAATGGACACTCATGAGGATACAGATAGAAATCGTGTGCTAGAATAAGCCTTAATTTTTAGTACCATCATAACTACAGACTAAAGATCGGAATACTGAGGAGTTTGATCGTCAGAAGCTTTCGTCTAACGGACAATGAGTTCTGGGACGAGCAGTTGGACAAACTGACACGAATTTACCTTAGTGACGTATACCCCAGAGAATGTATAGAAAAAAAATCTAGAGGTTATAAAGGGCCGATTTCAACTCGGATTTTATGAAAATCAGACCAGGAATCAGGAGGACGACCAAAAGTGGATTTGCCTGCCCTCATCACAACTGAGCCAACAATTGTGACCGTTAATAAGGAAATGGAACATCAGGGTGATAACAAAGGAGAAGAAAACACTTTTCACCAGTCTTCCGACGCAACACGAGAAGACTGACAAATTTGAATGCTCGGGAGTTTATCGCATCAAATGCGGCAACTGTGAGCAGAGTATATCGGTGAAACTGGAAGAAAAATCGTCCTACGAATCTAGGAACATCAAAGACTCTGCAGGAACATGGATACGAAAATATCCGAAAAAGCGGAACACATTGTATGAACGGCGCACGAAATCGACTGGAAATCGACCGAAAGGTTGGCTGCATGTGGTGAAAATACGAGACAACGCAAAATCCGAGAGGCCATCGAAATACTGACCGAGAGAAATCTAATGAAGGCAAATCAGCGAAAACTTTGCATATTACCTAAACAAACTCGGAGAAGACCATGCAACAGCAAGATCAGCAAAAAGAAGATGACTAGGTCAAAGTAATATTCTTAATTTTAGGAAAAGAGATCGCAGGGGCATGAGAAAGGAACAATCAGAAGCCAAGAGGAGACATCTTCAGTGAGCCTAAAACAAGTAGAACCACGACATTTGTGGGTTGGTACAAAAGAGACTAGGACGTAGGAAGTAATGGACATGGTATCACAGATAGATATAGGAATGACGCGAAGGAGACTAAAGCTATTTGGCTAACAATAGACATGCTTGATCATAGAAATGATCCTTGAATCACGACTATTGTTAGCCAACTAGCTCCAACTTATGTTTCTATCCTCCTTCTATCTCTAATACCAAGACTATGACTTCCTATGCCCTAGTCTCTTGTGTGCCAACCCACAAACGTTGTGTTTCAACATTGAACCTAGTCAAAGCAAGCAGTACCACAACATTTGTGGGTTGGCACACAAGAGATTTGGGCATGGGAAGTCATAACCTTCGTATTAGAGATAGAAACAGGATAGACGCTGCGGCGATGGGAGCTAGTGGGCTGACAGCGGGTTTTATAAGAGAAGGCCTGACCATTAGACTTACTCAGATGCTTTAGCCTCGAATTAGTCACCCAGACGCAGGGGAGGGCGAAGAACGCCTCGAGTGGCACGACGGGGTGGCAGGGGTCGAGTGAAATATGTGTACCAGGGAGAGGGCAGATGAATCTTACGGGGCAAGAGAGAGACTGTGGTAAGACCGAGGGAGGAGGACTGTGTAACAATATGGCAAACTCTGATCAACATTCCAAGCACAAGGATGAAGGGGGTGGAAGGCCAGTGTGGAGTGTGGAGGGTTCTCATGAAAGCCGCTCCAAAGGGCACATCGTACCACATTAAAGTAAGCAAATAAAAAATGGTGACAGTGAAAGCGTGATAGGAGGATATAGCAAATGTGAATAGACCAAGGCAGAAGGGGAGATACCGTAACTGTTTAGCACGCGTTTGGTCAAAGGATCGGCTTCACTTGTCTCTTTGACGAGTTGTCATATGGTGCTACGAATGGTAAAACTCACTGACGATGTCGATTACGATGCCGGCGTAACGTCTAGGAATGTACCGCGTCTACGGTCCGACTTTGGAAATAATTATGCAGACAATGGACCCCGAACGAGGTGCGTTCCAATAAGTCTTCCTACCAATATGACCATGTTGCGAAA